ACCGGCTAACAGATGGCGGTATGTTTGTCAGCCTTACGCGTCGGCCGCACTTTATACTCCAGGAAGATTCCTGGTTCTTATTTCTGCTTTTTTTTGTTAGTGGGGTGGGACTAGGTCCCTTGTACTGCGGCCACTTTTGGCTTATTGTACCAGCCCCAGATGATAGGTGAGGGTGATTGTAGAGAAATTGGTGGAATGAAGATTGGCAGGGGAAACCGAAGTGCTCTGAGAAAACCTACCCCAGGGCCAATTTTTCCACCATAAATCCCACTTGACCAGACCCGTGATCGAACCCGGGCCGCCGCGGTGGGAATCCAGCGACTAACCGCTTGAGCTATGGCGCGGCCTTCTCATTTCTGTTAGAGGCTGTGTCTAACCCAGGGCCGTATTGTGACTGAAGGGATTAGCTGAATTGAAATAGTCTATCTCATCAGTTCGCGAAACCGCGACCTCTGCTGAATTAATTTCTGTTCTTCTGTTACATTTGCCATTGGATGATCATACAAAGGCTGGGGGGGGGTCATTTTATTTCGTAATCATTGACAGTATTATAGTCTCGATACTGACAGTCATTACCTAACCAACTGAAATGGAGTTTGTAATCAGCGTTTTCCCTGTACATAAGAAGTTCCTATGGCAATTATTGTATAGAATACAACGCCATAGTCATGTAAGCCTACCTACGCTGACAATGAAGATGGAAGCAAAATGTTCCCCCGAAACATTTATACTAAACAGACTGGTATAGAGGTAATAATCTGAACTTTTAATTGAGAGGTGCTTAGTTCTAATCTCGACAGGGACACTGCCATCCTGAATGATATTTCTCGTGATTTTCCTCAGTCCCTCTAGGCGAATTCCGGAATAGTACCTCGATTATGTCATGAGCGTTTCCTTCAAAATTATTTCCGATTTCTTACAATTATAATTCATGTATCAACGCAACATACAATGCTACGAGTATATATTTTCGATACTGGAAATGTTAAATAAGCTACAAATAATTTGGTGTATACTTACAAGGCTACGTGTCGAAACACAAATATCCTCACTTCTAAATGAATCGGAAACTGGATTTCTATAGGGGGCAGCACTGGCTTATATATATATATATAACATTCGTACGCAGTAACACACGCGTGTCCTTAGGGTCTGCAACTTTTATTCGAAACAGCTTTCGATATGTTCAGCATCTATTGAAATACGAAGCGAAGTCTTTTCTGTGTATGAGCAGCGTGTATCCTGCCGTGCGCTTAATTTGCATCAGTGGATTCGTACCTGCAGTTGGCTGAATACGTCTGTGAAAGAGCTCAGAAAGAAATTCGCATATTTGTATACCGCAAACACTCCTGTTATGTTGATCCAACTGACTCACTAACTAACTAACTAACTAACTAACTAACTAGTTCAATGCAGCGAAGTCCTTCTTAGGAAGATAATAGCTGCTCAGCTGTTCAAGAAATATTCAGCATTTTAGGAACCCATAGATCCAATACAGTTTTCACGACGACCATCCACTAACCCTTAATCTGAATTAGATTTCCTTGAGGGTACAGCGGGAGCGGAATGAAGCTAACCACTCATCTCCACGTAGTGTCAAGCTCTAGAATGGTGGAGCCACACCTCCACTCCGTCGTAGGTCTTCACGGAATAGTGTTTGATTAATAAAATAATTAATTAATTAAGCACAGAGACTTTAACTTAGCCTGTTCCCAAATATCGTCGAACTATCAGAATCACTGGATTCTTGAACTTTGTCCATCGTCCGGTATTCCAGAAACCAGAAAACACAACGTTTCGGAAACTGGATCTCTTTCCGTTCTCATTTGGTTGGGAGAAGACACCTACTCAGTCGGCTTCCTTAGAAAGAGCTAACCTCAATCACTGGACACCAACGTCAGAACCCATTAGAATATGATCGTCAAACAATTTTCCTCCTAAACATGAGAGACAAAACTTCACACTTCTATATTATCATACTCCTACGTCGCAGTTTAATTGTTGCACACACTGTATATACAGGGAGTCTGTAGAAAAGCGCAAAACATTCGGAAATTTCATGGGGATTAACCGGCTATTTCTTATTTCCTCGTATACAACCCATCAGGATAAAATGACTGTCTTTCAGAAAATCTTACACTTTCTTGGACTTGGATTTAGCAGGGTTGTTTGTTCGCACAGAATGGACAGTTGGACGATATTCTCTCAATTGTTGTGCGATATCCACTTCCAAACATGGATCCAGACGCACAAATGCTGGCTGCTTATGTGGTGAACATAGGCTTACATGTTGCAAGCCTGTATGTGAGTGGGTCTCTTTTTGCGACTAGTAAAAATGAATTTATTTTCGGTATGTACAAAAGCGCTATCAGTGTCTCAGAGTGTCTGGCGTTGAATGGAAGGATAAATCAATCATGGAATCTATAGAATATGGAAATAATTGGTCGAGGCCTAATTACAGACACTGTTATGGCCCAAATTTGAGATTGGAGAGGGTATGGTATTACCCAAAAGTTAGAGACTTGCGAAAAGCGTTTCGCAGTCATTACAGTACATTGTAAACACCAGGACTGGCAATTAGGTTAAGAATGTGGAGGCTCAGCAGGTCTGTGTAATCGCAGAGCAAGAGCTTGCCTCACTCGGTCACTGGATTAATCGTGAGAGACCGCATACACAACAATAAGACGCAAGGGGTCCGCCCACAACCACCCATGAGAGTCAATGAGGAGGTGATTATGAGGATTAAGGACACTGAGGGGGAGTCACCTACCCTCTGTCGTCAACGCTGAATCAGCGAAATAAACCCATACATTAGGGAATTTCGGGGGACTTGGAACATGTTCTAACAGAAAATCCAGTTGTCAGCCGAAGGCTCTCTTCAACATGGGGTTGACAAGTGCTGGAAGGGCCTACAGTCTTCTATGTCAAGTAAGTCTTATTTACGCATAACAGCCATGCTGATTGATAATATTGTGTTTAATAGTATTGGTGATAACAGTGTTGTTGAGCTATTTGAATGTGCAATCTCCAGTGTACCCAGTGAGCCCTTAGGGGAGGATTGTAGAATTATGTAAGCGCTTAGGATGTGCGTCAGGCAAGAAGGTTTTATAGATATGTGTTAGGGTTATGGTTAGTATGTAGGGTAAAGATAGTATATGGGAATTTGATATATAAATATAACTAAGGGTAGATTATGTAGAAGAGACCTTACGACGGAGAGTGTAACCAGATATATATATGAGTAGTAAGAAATGTGCCGGGAGAAGATATATGTTCACGAGGGGGACTTGCATGTCCTCATTAGTCAAGTCAGAGAGAGAGAGAGAGAGGCTCCAGGCCTCCACCCCTGAAGGGGGAGGACTTAAAGAAACAGAACGAGTAGTAAAGGCTCTATGGAGTCCTGACTGAAGGTCAGTCTTTGTGATAATGTAAATTTGTAAATTATGTAAATACAAAAGTGTAAATAGATGGAGTAGATAGATAGGATAGGATGTACCGGGATTGTGATTCATATCTATAATCAACTTTCCCCACGACCGTTCCCGAGAATCCTGACCAAAGCGAGGGTTGAACTGACACAGGCAGCAGTAGCAGCCGAAGACAAAGAAAGACTAACAGGGATAGGCACCTGCCACACAGGCAGAGTTGAGTAGCCTAGATACCAACGCCCCTTAAGATATAATGATAAAGTGTATTAATAAAGTATTAAGTCGCTACCTGTAAACTACGGGAGGAGTGGTCAAGGAGCTATGACCGTATGCCAAGGAGTGGTGCCCACAATCGAAAGGACAGATAATAGATGGTGGCAGCTTTTACCGAGAAGGAAACCCCGAAATAGGAGAATCCTAGCTAAGGGTGAGCTAGGAGTATGGTGTTAACTCCTTACAGCATAAGCTGGGGATGCAAAGAGGGGTACTTGCACACCCCCGACGGCTCGACGTTACCAGTGGTACCAGTTTACGACATAACAAGTGGAGGCGAGGAGGGATAACTCCACGCCCCCCGTACTGGCGGCGGTACAGTGGTGGCAGAGGCGGGCTGACTCCACACTCCCCTGCACTACGGCATTACAGACACTTTCCGGAAATTATCATGATGGAGTGAGGATAATCACAGCAGAGCGCAGTTAGTACAGCCGGTCATGGCCGAAACTCTGTTTTGCCCCTCCCGACGTAAGACACAATTTTTCGCTTCAGCGAACTTGCACAATAAACAGGAAAGATGACCCAGTGTTTAATTAAGCACTACGCCATAAAGACGTGCGGACGAAGATAGGTCCTCGTACCGACCGACTTACCCTCGAGTAAAGAGGCCCCAGAACCCACTGTTAAGAGACTGGGTGGACTCCAGAGTCGGTCTGAACGCGGTGACGAAAAGAAGAGTCGCTGCTAGTGATGGGCTGGGAACCCCGGTCGTCCAGCCCGTAGTCCGATAACTATGCTGTTTCAAATACCAAATGGCCTCTAAGCAGCTAGACACACTCCTCATGCCTGGAGCTCTGATTCCAGAGATCCTTAAGCCGAAAATGTGTTAAGGGACCCTCACTCGTACAAGTCTGGCTCATGAGTCCGTCTCGGTTCGGATTCCGATGAGCCAAACTCGTCCGTGTGAGGGTCGCAAAGTTGGGAGTCGGCTCATGCGTTTGTGGTGAAATTAATCCGAACCCGGCTCCCGAGTCAAGCTCGCTGAGCCGAACTCGCGAGGCAGACTCGTACGTGTATGGCCCCCTTTAGTTACAATTGCAGAGAGGCACGTAGCATAAATATGGGCAAAGATACAACTTCCAGCAAGACTCGAACTCCTCACCGTAGAGTCGTATGAGCAGTAAAACGCGAGAAAACTTGATTATTGTTACAGGGTGTTCAAACATTGCCTGAATAAAGTACCAAACATTCTGTCTCGAGTAAAGCCCACTGGAAGTCTTGCTTGTCCTTTGTGATTACAGTGAGACATCTCGAAATATTGTCGCCTGCGCGCAGATCCATTTTAATAACCCCACTTCAGGTCCAGACAGGATAACCATTTGGCTCCAGCCAGCGCGTCCAGAGTGTCAGCAGTCCGGGGTAGTAGGAAAGAGTCCTTCCTTGCGACATCGTTCTGATTCCTGTAGTCCACGCAGAAGCGCTGTCCCCGGTCTTCTTTCGGGCGAGAACGACGGAGGGTGACCATGGGCTGCCTGCTTCTTCAATAACCCCACGTCGTTTTATGTCCTTGAATATCTCGTCCACATTTACCTGTTTTGCTAGGGGGATACTGCTTAGGAGTTCAAGAACGGGTCGGGTCTCTACCATATCTATAAGGTTGTTCACTGTATATATCAGTCCGTAGTCATCAGCGTCCATAGCAAAGAAGTTTCTGTAGTCGGTGAGAATCTCTATTAAATCTCGGGATTAAGTGTCACTCAGGTTTGGCTTGGTCGCTGTAATCACGTCCGGTAACTTCGGGATAGTGTCATGGACCTGTAGTTATGCCACATTGGGTGGGATCACTACGCTCTCACATTGTGTAGATATTAACTGATCATTGGCCACAACCAGACTTGAATGTCAGTGACCCGCGCCGGGGATCCATACTGACACCTCATTCTCTGAATGATGCAGAGTTTGGCGCCTTAGATTCACAAATGCATTACATGTGGGCAGGATGGCCAGCCCCTAGATGATTTCGTCTGTGATAATGGCGAAGAATAATCAAATTTTCAGTGGGCTCCGCCCCAGGATGAGTGACAGGAAACCTTCAGTGAAGATTTGGAGGGCTCTCCCAGATACCGTCTGTAACGTCTAACGTTGGTTCGTCTATCTTTTGGGCCATCCATATGCAATGGTGTGTCTAACAACAGCTACGTACGCCCCGGTTGCATACGGTCACGAGGCACTGTTTGTGACTAACCTATAGTCAGCCCTTGCCGTAATGACAGCGCACGAGCCCGGCGTCAGCCATTTGCCGCCGGCATCCTGTAGTGATCCGACGGTTGGCCATCCCTACTGTCTGCCTCTCAGTTGTTGCTCGGTCGCCATATGTATCGGTAGATCTAGACTGGGGTTTAGATTGGAGATTAGATTTATTTACCACTTACTGATTATAAGTACATATAATTATAACCGTATCTGTGAATTACGCACTCCAAATGCCACTGTAATTACAGCAGACATAAAGTTTTCTCTGTCTTCGTTACTCGTTTCCTGGTAAGAGATTTTAACATTATCGGCTTAAGTCCTTACCGTCTGCCATATATTCCACAACTGAACTAATTTGAGTCTGAGTCTTATGTTACCACCTACGGTCAGTCTGCCAATCTGCCTTAGAATAAGCATCCATTTTGGGGATTACGACCAGATTTTTATTAATGTGATACAGTTGCGGGTTCCTTGATGTGGGGCACTGTCTCTGACGAGATGACTGCTATATCGTTTACAATTGCTGCTGACCGTCGCCAGCGCAGTCATTCTCGGGTCTGAGTCCGGTGTGACTCGCGGCCATATTTTACCGTCTCAGATTCGATATTTCTCTTTTCGTCGCCACCTACTGCTCGCAGGGTTACAGTGCTTTATGCGACCTCGCCTCTACAAGAGATGCATGTGAACTAGGCCCTAAAATAATCCCATTGATAAACCTTTTGCACGGATCGTGTAGGAAACACCACTTCCAACAGTTCCTTTTTGTTGCGTGTTGATGAATTGCCGTGCGAACCTGTTTGTTTGCGATCGCTAACTATGAATGGATCTGCACGCTACAGTATATAATTGGAATTTACATCTCTCTGTGCACACCCACGAACCCTTCGCATGGCAAACGCGACGACAACCCATCTTGTGAGGAGATATCACCTTAGGCATGACCTGTAGAGGGACAGAACATGTAACACGAGGAGTATAGTGAGAAACCAACTGAAATGTTTTGCCGTTAAACTTGAAGGTGGAGGCGGCAGAGACAGATGGCTGTGCATAGAGGGGATACCGACATCTAAGTGGGTCTGGAGAAATACGATGCGACGTTGGGGGTGGAGTCTTCTGGCTCAGGAGAATATAAGGAATGTTTGGGTTCATTGTAAATCTTGATTAACTGAGTGAATATGTAATTATCGGAATGGGCTCTGGACTACACGGAGTTGTTTACCTCTCGGTGGTTACAGCAGATAAGGAATGTCACAGTAACAATGGCCAGTTATCGTTCCTTCTGAGACAAGAACGGTACGTAAGCCAAAATTTGATGTGCAAACATCACGACACAGAGGAAGACAGGTGAAAAAATTTAAAGTCCAGATAGAGGAAGGTTCAGTCGTAAAAGAACAATTATTGATAATTACAAAAATTGTGGTTCCCTGGATTTTGATACAAAATAGTTTTGTAACCATATATGGTTGAATAGGGGCAGTATGTTTCCTCTAGTTTAAACCCTCAAGAGAAAGAAGAATATTCCTCAGAAACATCAGTACCCGCTTACAGAACTACATGGAATCACAAATCAGAAACCACGGCTGCGAAAACATCAGCATATATATGATGATGATTAGCATTTTAAATGCGTCTGCTACTCACCATTTATTGGGATGACACGAGACCTGGCAAGATCGGCCTTGTTGCCAACAAGAATTACAGATTTCTCTTGTATGTAGTTCTCACGCCACAAGTAGTTGAGGATATCTTCCCCTACTTTGAAAGTGTTGCGGTCCACAATGGAGTAGACTACGACGCATGCGTGAGGCTCGTACGTCGACAAAGAATTTTCAACCTGAAACAGACCTGAGTTTTATTACTAAATCACTCTTAAATATATAGACTGCCATTTCTAAGCATCAGACCATATCCCCTGTAGACAATATTTCGCTGGTTAGAAGAAATCTTCCTGGCTACCTTAGCTGTCCTGGCGATGATCATTCCTCTCCATTTATCACCCTTGAAGACAGTCAAGAAATTTACCTTTGACCATGGCCGACGAATAAGGTATGAGATGGCATTGGACCCATGTGTGTCACTGAGCCCCAGTGACTACTGTCTAGAGTGATATCGGAATGTCTCTGCAGAAATTGTGGCATATCTGCTGAAAGCTAGAATTTTGAAGCCAGCAGAGACAATCCTTACCAGGAAATGGCTTTGCAAACGCGCTCGTTGTTAGGCAATGGCTCAGTAGTCGCCATGCAATAAATTCTTCTGTAAATATTGACCAACTATGAAACACAAGAGTTGTTTGAGATGGAACAAAATCGTGACAAACCTCAATCAGAGAGTAGACTCAGCTTATATAGATTATTGTTGTGCCAACCTGATTGTTACTGTCAGATGGACTGGGCCAAGCATAAAAACCGATGATTTGTAATCAAACGCACCTTAGTCATGAGGAATAATTTTTTATTTAGTATTAGAGCTTTCTACTTTGTTTCCATTGTCCCTCTCCAAGGGAAGATATTGTTACGGGTGCCGTCTTTACTCCCGTCCTCAGACAATGGCTACCTAACCGGCTGGTCCGTTGGAGAGACCCAGCCTAATTTTGTTGTCAGAGATTGGGATAAGCTTAAATTCTCTCGCACGCAGATGATGCGCCTATTCGACTGGGCCCTTTAGAAACGCCTAACCCAGTTACTCGACGAACTAACTGAGTTGTCCGTGATTGGGAATACCTGAATCTAATCCTGTCATGAGACAAGTGGTACCTACCCAGTCGGGTCCATTAGAAAGACTTAACCCACTGACTGGATGACGTAAGTTGGTGGACCGATTATTGGGAGCTACTCCTGTATTAAGAATAAGAGTGAAGTGAAAGTTTGGTCTTAATGGGCGTCTGAGTTCATTGCCCTGTGGCTGCAACTAGAATGAATCTGCTCCCGTCAGAAGGAGAGCAGGGATTGGTGTTAGCTTCTTCGAATGGATCCAACATAGTACGGAGCCTTACCTGAAAACGGGAGATGATCGTGCTCCGAAATCACGTGTTCCTTTTTAGAGCGTAGGAAAATTAATCAAATCCAGAGACTAAAAGTACTAAGCATAATATACGATCCTCAGAATGCTTCAGAATAAGATTACCGCTTGTTTCTTGTATTTCAACAATATCTTAACGAATCTCTTGGATATATAAACCCGAAAGGAAGGCCTTCACGGTAGGAAATTGATAACCGACATGGCTTTATATTTAGAATCCATAAAATGAATTGAAAACTGGTGCACATATTTTCCAAATGCTTTCTATCTACCTTATACGCACGTTATTGGTATCGCCAGATTCTGTTCTTACAGAGACAAATTCATGTTACTATTCAGAGGGCAACTGTGGGAATTCAACTGAATTAGCAACAGGATAGTGAAACACAGCGTCTAGAGAATATATGAAAGAAATTCGGGATGGAAATAAATTCAGGTTTCACCAGTGACCTGCAAGTGAAGGGTATAGCATTGAAAACCCAACCGAACGTCAATCAGATACATCGGTAAAGATATGACATCAAAAGCTCTTCCCCTTCTGTAAGGATTTCCCCAGCGTTATTTTTGACCCTGGTATGACTTCCATATTGCCCTCCTGCCTGCGCGGCTGTTGTGTTGTTAGTCGCGCAGAATTCCTGCAGGTGCAAGCAACACGTGTGTCCATTCTCGAACATTTCTTCTCATCTAAACCGTACGAGCTTAACAAGTACTTAGGAACACTCGATCTGAGAAGGAAGTATGGAACAAGGTAACATTATACCAGCAGGAAACTTGCCCCGTGTCTTACAGTCTTCTCGGCTGGCTGAAGTAAATAAGTAATAAACCTAACTAACGAAACACTTGTCGACATAATTTCCTTACTTTGAAAAAATAAAAGTAGGTGTATGAGATTACCACGCTGTGTGTCTGTACGTGTATCCGCCCTATTAACTTCTGAACACCTGTACCAATCTATACGAATATTTGTATGCATATCATGGCAACTGGCCCCATCTCGGTGACATAATTCATAAATCACTCTCTTTAATAATTACACACATTCATTTTTCTGAGGTAAATCCTTAATATTTCTTGAATTCCCATACCAATCTTCATGAAACTTAGTACAGTAGAACTTGGTTATAACGTCATCAAAGGGACCTAAAAATAGTGTCGTTATAAACGAATGTCGTTGTAACCGAAATGGGCACTTCCACAGTAGCCTTATGTTAGTCACGTAAAAATCTACCAAAAACCGAGTTAAAATGTTGCATTTTTTAGTGAAATACATAGTTAAGTACAGACTAACGTAACATTAACGTGGAATTGCCCAAATGTGTAATATCAAAGACATATTACAGCGCTTTTCACTGACAATACACACCGCACTAATACTGTATATTAAAGGTAGGCCTACTCAACAAATTACAGTAGATTACATCAATTGTTGTGCCTTACTGTACCTAGATACGAGTACAGTAATCAGTTATCTTCATCTGTTTCCTGTTACTTGCCCAATACACACTTTCAAAATTACGTTCAATGTCCATATCAGAGAAATTCGGGAATGAAAATGACGTTACATACGAGGTTGATGCATTTGTGCATGTCGTACTAAGCAAGGTATAAAAACAGTTGCTTTATGAGGAATTAGTTCGTACAACTGAATATTTGACGCAATAGACAAGGTGTCGCAGAAACCGATGTTGCTATAACCAAGTTTTACTGTATATTTATCACCTCACACGAAGCCATCTCAACGGCATACTCCTTATATCCCTTAAGCTAACAGTATAAAACATTACAGCCTCTCTAATTGTTAAAATAATAACCGTAATGTTACCTAAATTTCCCAACCGATCATATGAAACTTGGTATGTATATGAAGCCATCTGAGCCCATTTCAGCGGTGCACTTCATAAGTCCTTTCCTTCAGTAAGACAAACAATACAGCCATTCAAATTGCTGAGGTAAAATCTTAACAAAAATTGAACGTCTGTACAAATCTCCGTGGAACTTGGTAAGAGTATTATGCAATCTCGTCGGAGTATGTCATCACTCCCTCCCATCAGTAATACTAATATAGCAACGTCATAAATTTCTGAGATATGACCTTAATATTGCCTGGAGGCATACGCCGATCTTCACGAAATTTGAGAAGTATATTGTGAAATGACACCTGAATGCCGGAATATGACGGTCTACTGGGCGGCGTTTAGTTGAGCACATTCCCCTGGAAATACGGAATATACCGTTGCTTGTCAATGGATTTGGGTGAACACACATTACGCAGTCAACAGTGGGACAATGCTACGTATGTTTCGCAGCATCGGACGAAACACAATTCGTAGCAGACAATACGCGTAACCAAAATGGATACCGAAACGCTATATAAGCGACCTTACAGAGCAAACCGAGTCACTTTCACTTAAAAAGTAACATCGAACCGGGGCTCGACACCAAGACAGACAGCCTCACTGACTGTCAGTCGGAACATGACTTTGACTTTGACTTTAACCTGAGTCAGTGACTAGACTGCTGTTATAGCAGAAGCTACTAGAAATAGGACATAATCTGCTGTAGTGAGCCTTGACTGACAGAGGCCATGTATGTATTTTATATATATTTATTAACATGTTTAACATGTAAAGTGTAAATATATTTTATATTATGACAAATGACTTACTACTGCATACAATGACTCTGACGAAAGACGGACCCGTCCCCTCGTCAGAGATTGCGTCCCATATCAACAAACAAGCACTGTCTGACAGTAATAAAAATTTGGTCGCAAGCATCAGATGGATGTTTTATTCCAAGCTAGACTGGCCGTCGGTCGTAACATAAGAGTCAGACTCAGACTCAAATTGAATCAGTCGTAACATAGAAGCCGTGAGTCATACTGAGCAGTAGAAGACTAGAGACAAGAGACCAGTCCGAAACACAGGAGAAATACAGTGAGAGACTCGTTAGCAAGAAGAAGTTCGATGTGTGAGCTGTTATAATCAACTGTAATTGTAATAGGGCCGTACAATAAACGCAATCATCAGATCTAGATCCCACAATTATTCGTCACGCTAACTCCTTATACTTGAAAATCCCTTGCCACGTAAAGACTATCTCAGTGGCGTAAGGTGAGATAAGGTAAAGTTGTTCGTATGCTTAACTAATTAAGCACTACGCCATGAAGACGTACTTGGGAGTGGATGTATAGACCCAGTTCTTGACCTCGGCACTAGTTGGAGGTGAGTTGTCAGCTTCACGCCCGACAGCTTTACCCCTAGGAAATAGACCGTGTTATCAGATGGTTAGGAGGCTGGGCGGGCCCCAAATCCGGTCTGGACTACAGGAAGAAGTGAAAATTCCTGTCCCCATCGGGACTCGAACTCCGATCCCTTGGTCGCCCAGCCCGTAGTCAGTCGCTATAACTACTGCGCTCTCCCTGTTCTTAATCTGAATGGTGTACATCATAAATCCCTCTCGTCAGTAATACCAATATCGCAGGCTCTAAAACTGCTGAGGCGTTACCATTAATATTACTCGAATGCCAGAACCAATCTTAATGAAACTTGGCATGTTTATCACCCCACATTAGTCCATCTCTACGGCGTACCTAAGGAATCAGTCTCACCAGTAATAGCAACACTACAGCCTCGCTTTTCCGATTGCATTATGCATGTATACTGAAGATTAGTTCTATTTGTCCTCTCGGGTACAACAGTTACGGCGAAAGAGTGTAGACGGCTAGTTATTCCCAGAATTCCTTGCTTCCTTATATTTTCACCTGTAACCATGCTTATACTCCTGCAGTTAGGGTTGCGTTAAATTGTGCATTCT